GGGGATGAAATCCTTTAAGCTATAAATCTGGTCCATTTCTCAAACCCAAACCCAAAACCCATCAAACCAAAAGCCCAAAAACCCAAAAACCCAAACCCAAAACCCAAAACCCATTTAACCCAACCCAACAAACAAAAAATCATTTAACCAAAAAAAATACAAAAAATTAAAAAAGCATTCGTTCTCTCTTCCAGAACATTCTTCCCCTCACACCCAAACCAGCCGGCAGCCACACACCCAGATCCCCTCACCCCAGCGCCCTGAGCCCGCGCCTTGCGCCCTGCGCACCAGCACCCCTGCCCAGCGCACCAGCCCTGCACCTACGCCCGAGCCTTGCACCTACGCCTCTGCTCCCTGCTCTGCGCCCAGATCCTGCAATCACGCCCCTGTTGCTTGCACGCCAGTCACTGCTGCTGCACAGCGCCTGCACTCCTGCTCGCTACAGTACATGCCTGACGAAATCTTCATCATTACTGATTGACAGGAGCAAGTCTTTTTATTTATTTTATTTTTTATTTGGGTATATATATATGGAAAAAAAATCAGGGGAGAGGATGGTTGGTTGATTTTGGGTCTCTTTGTTGGGGAGTTTCGTCTGAGTTTTTGAGAGCAATAGAAGGGGATTTACTGGAGAAGAAAGGGGGCAACAACGGTGGGTGAGAGGAAGGATCACCGAGCTTCCGGAGGAACTTCATTTTCTGGTTTCATTTTCTGGGTTTCATTGCCTTAGGTAATTTCTGAACAGAGGAATTTTTGGGAAGAGCCGTGAGGGAGAAGAAGGGAGCTTGATCCCGTGGGTGGGATCCCTCCCTTCGGATCTCAATCTGCTTTTTTCCCAGAAATTTCACCTTGTTTGATTCTGATTCTCATGGAGTTTTGCTTTATTAAAACTGTACTAGATGATGATACTGCAAATGAAATCAAGCATGTTTGTTGAATTTCATGGATCCGAATTGGAATGGATGTTTACTTGCTTTCTTTGTTCTGTTCTGTTGGATGGCCGAACAGAAATTCCAGATCCTTTCTGTTTCTGTCCAGATTTCATTTTGGTCTAGCTTTTAATCTGTTTTTGCCCACTTTGGTTGGTGGGTTCGTGTTTTTGGATGGATCAACCCGACCCAATCCAATAAAAAAAAAAAACCAAAAAGGTTAAAAAGTAAAAAAATCAGAAGTTATCTCTTTTATTTCAATTTTGCACAAACTTTTCATGTTTAAGCACTTTAGTCCAAAAGTTTTAAACTTTTTCAAGTCAGTCCTCTATTTTTATTTTAATCAAATCAGTCCCTTTAATTTTTACTTGTGTTCATTGTGCATGCATGTCTTTGATTTCGTCCATTTTAGCTCAAAAATTAAAAAATGTTTCAATTTGGTTTACCCTTCTTTCAAGCTTGCTTATTAAGACTTAAATACAAACATGATGAATAAGTTGAATCAAAACCCCCAATGTTAAAGTATGCAACCGTGTTTAAACGGAGGATTGTGAGGTGCGCGTATGCCCTTTCTCACTCCTAACTGAACCCCCGAATCCCGATCTCTGTGCAGACCCGTTTTAGGTGACTTGTCCCACCTTATAATTTGGATGAGTGGCGACTCCCTTTTCTTTAATATTTTCACACTTAATCCTTTTTTAAGTGGTCGTCAACACTAATGTTGTATTTGGAGTAAATGTACATTTCTTCCAAAGATTATACTTCAACATCAATCACTTTATTTAGAATATAAATAAGATAAAAGAGGGA